CTGACTTGTTTCCATGAAACGTGTTCCTGAGACACAACATAAAAGACCTGGCTAAGGAGGAGCTAGCTTTCTTTTGTAATTCTCGCTATATATGAATGGAAATGTCGCTGAAGCTTGCTAACCAGCTAGGTAACTATTTAACCCCACATAGTATACACGTATGTGCTTCCTTCTCTGAATGAGTTCTCAATGGTGAAACGGTAGTGTGGAAATGTGAGGGAGATATTGGGGTGTGAAATGTCTGGCTACGGGTGGGGTGAGTGGGAGTGATGTTTTGGACAGATGATTGACAGCTGTAGGGGAGGAAACAATTACATTTCAGTGAGACCGCATGCTAGGCAACAAACCAACACACCCACAATCCAACAGACAAGCCACTCTGCATTCTCTACACAACGGGGAACACACTTGAACACATTACACGGGGGCTTGCACGCGTGAGGTGAAGGAAGCGTTGCGATGGGATTGATTAAGAAGGTTACGTGAAGTTGCAGATGGACTCGACATACACTGCTTTCAGAGTTTAGCACCACACAAACGGAAAAACTTCCCAAAACTGCGAAAGAAAACTAGTTTTTTTGTTTTTGACAGAATTCGTCCCTACGCTCCCCCCGGTCACAGTTAAATGTGCTCTCCTTGGCATCAGGGATTATAAGAAGCATAGAGCAAATGTATGTAAATGATATATTTATGCAAATGTAGATTAGCTATTACATGTGCCCTGTGGGAGATTATAAAAAGATAATGAAAACAAAATCCCAACTAATATTATTTGAGATAAAAAATGATGTACATGCACATTGTTGAATGAAAATATTTACAATGAAATAATGACTTAATGAGGTTCATTTACGTGTCCGGGTGTGAGTATATAAAGTATAACAGCTATATCGGCTATTGTAACTACATACACTTTCTGGCAGATCAGGTCTGATGGTTTTGAAATAATATAACGATGATGTCACTGTTGTGAGAAAAAAAAGCTGAGGTAAGTTGAGCCGCTTCTCTGATTGGTTAAGTGCAGGGACACACGTATTACGAAGGGTTCGATTGAAGGATCCATGGTGATCAAGGGAGATGTAGTCCAGGTTAGACAGCGGGGCGTGTGTTAGTGTGTGGGAACCAAGGAGTGTGATGACTACAGAATGAGGATGTGCCGTGAAGGTGGAATGAAGCGAAGGGAGGGAAGGGTGGGCGGAGTTTGTCCCCTACTTGCATTCGTTGCAAACGCATTACAAATACCAACGCTACAGAACCACAAACATCTAAAAAACTAAAACAAAACAACAACAAACTAAAGAAAAACCATCAAAGAAAAAGAAGGTCAAAGGAAAGCTGTTGAACGAAGTCTCCAACCCAGCTAGGATCGACTAAGAGCAAACTGACAGGAAGATGGCGCCCCGCCCGCCCCCTGGCCTGGCGCCGGTCGGGGGGAGAGAGAGAGCAAGGCGCCATGGGCCCGCCCTCTACAGAAGAGTTCTTTCATCAAGCTCCCCTCGAGGCCACTCTTTCACACACTGGCAGGACCCGGACCGGATCAGACCGGATCGGACCGCACCGGGCCTTCAGACCCACACACAGACAGGGTGTGGTCCGACCCGTGGCCCACTGATCCTTTATATTTATACTATATATATATACTGTACTGATAGTGTGAATAAGATTATTAACACCAAAGGTGTCTATCAGATAACTACTGTATATATATATATACTGTATTGACACTGTATTGATAATGCATTGATAGTGTGAATAGATTAACACCAATGCCTGATATGTGATAGAAACATCAAGTCTATCAGATATCTACTGTATATATATACTGTTTTGATAGCGTGAATAGATTATTAACACCAATGGTGTCTATCAGGTCTATCAGATAACTACTGTATATATATATATATATATATATATATATATATATATATATACTGTATTGATACTGCTATCGATAGTCTGAATAGATTAACATGAGTGCTTTATGCCTGATGTGTGACAGAACATGTAAAGTGACAAGTCTATCAGATATATATTGTACATATATATACTGTATTGATAGCGTGAATAGATTATTAACACCAATGGCTTATGTCAGCATCTATCAGATAATATACAGTATATATATATATATATATATATATATATATATATATATATATATATATATATATATATATATACTGTATTGATAGTGCGAAGAGATGATTGAGAGCAAATGTTTCGCCCTGTTGTGTGATCCAAACATGTCAGGTATATGTGTATAATTCTGGTAAGTCAACGTGTAATGCAACGTCGACGCCAGAGAAAGTAGATCCGTGCCACAGTTGTTCCAAGCTCACCCAGCAGTCTATTCCTAGCGTTTGATGGGGCGGTATATTCATAGCCATGACACGCACTACTCCAGTATTTTTCACAGGGAGGAGGATTAAAAGATGGTCACAATAATAGCAATAATAGACGCGTTGAGAACAGCCGGGCAGATCGTATTCATGGGAAAAGGACCTGCTTGGATTTAGCTTATGTTGTGTACTATTCAGGAGGGCAGGGGAGTGTGGCCAGCAGTGGCGGTTCAGTACAGTGGGGGTTAAAAATTCACGTGAGTAGCATGATTCTTTGCTTCCACAAAACTGAGTTTTTCTTAGGGCACTATGGTGCGTTCGCCTGTAGTTGATTGGCATCGATTACTTCTGTTCAGTTCAGGCACATTCATACAAAAAACTACGGCGGACACCGAGGGACATACAAACCACACAAACGTTCATCCACACAAAAGATAAAATTGCACAAAAAAAATTGTAATATCGTATCGCAATTTTTACGGAATCGCAATATTTTGAGAATCGCAATAATGATCGTATCGGCACCCAAAAAACGTTGTGATATCGTCGGTCCCTGCATGTATGTTGTATGTATGTAAGTGTGTGTTTTCATGTGTGTTTGTTTCAATGTGTGTGCGTGCCTGGGGGTGGGGGGGGCAGGGGTGCTAGGATCGAGTGTGCCAGTGTGTGGGAGAGGTTGATGAAAAGCTCTCCTGAGGTGTGGTGCCATGCGATGCGCACAGCAGCAGCAGGCGTGCAGAAACAACATCTAACCTCTGAGTCTCCGCCCTGCACAACCAGCCGCAACCCACACAGACGGAGAGGGTACAGGGTGGGGGGGAGAGGGTACAGGGTGGCGGGACGGCACCAGGGAGAATATCATGGGACACTATTAGCATGGAGAACCAGGAGAGGATTTTCTCATGGTGCTAGCACACACACATACACAGTACATACACACGCACGCGCACACACACACACACACACATACACACACACACACAGTATGTACATACATATATACATACAAACATCCATACACACACACAAACACACCTAGAGCTGGTCGATCTTGGCCAAAACATTAATCACGATTATTTGGGTCAACATTGAGATCTCAATTATAAAGATGAGTATGCATTGATATTATGGGATAGTAAGGATTTGAATGTAATCTTATGCACAGAATGCTTGAATATCGCTGAAACAAATAAATGTTTTTTTTTAGTTGGCTAACATTAGCTCAACCGCAAGCTCTGTGTGTTGTAAAGTTGCAGCTTTGTTGTAATTGAAAACGAGGCGCGTTAAGTTCTACTATAATTGGTTTGTGTCGATTTTCAGGTATTCATGATCGAGGGAAGCCCAGATTGTAATCATGATCAAAATGTGATTAATCAACTAGCTCTAACACAGACAGACAAACATACACACACACACACACACACACACACACACACACAGACACACACACATACCTCCTCCACTAAATCACTGTGGAGTTTTGTTCACAAGGTAAGCAACCAAGACAAACAGAATAACAGAACATGGTCTAAGAGAGAGTAGCAAATGAGGTTAATCAGTTTATGATTGACACCTTGGGAGGAGAATAGGTTACTAATACACCATGAAGATAATACACCTGTGACATCAGTAGAGCAGATGTGTAAGTGCCTTTCTGTCACTATGCTGGGTGACTCACTATGCTAAATGTTAGCCGTGTAAATGCTAATCTTAAGGCTTGACATGGCTGGTTTTAAGCAGTACATTGCAGATGATATAATAAGTATAATAATGTATTTGTGTTGTCTATGACAATACCCAGAATGCAAAGGGGTGAAGCGGCGGCTCTGCAATCTTGGATCTGGCGTGAACTCACCTTGCTCATCTTGCTCTTGCTGTCGGCGGTGAGGAACGACATGTTGTTGATCTCGTTCATCACCACAAAGTTCTGCTCCTCTCGCTTAAAGTTCTGCATTTTTTTCCAAAGACAACAACAAACTAGTAGACTTGCCTTTAGGGTAAGACAGTGCAGGGGTGTAACACTGTAATTATAATGAAGGGCTATACAAATAAGCATGACTTGACTGGGCCAACTAGGGCCAGGGCAACTCACGTGAGATTTGGACCAGAATATGAAGACCTCTCCAACCATTCTAAACAGCTCCTCTGCATCAGGATCAGGACAGGTCAACCACCTGGCCCTGAGGGAACACACATACAACACAAACTGTATTATGGGATGTGATCAAGGACTGTGTAAAGGTCGAGGGGTTATGCAGAGGTGAAATGTGTTTTGAGATCACAATGCTGACAACATTAACATCTGTTTGTACCTCACTGTTTTAATTTCTTATTTTCAGCCCTTCTAGGGACGGGTGTTGCAAATTAGCATCCGCTATAAACCCTATGATACCTGCGTCGGACAGCTGTACTCGCTCAGCCTTTGTTGGAGAAATTGTAATTCAAATTTATATTAAATAAAATGAAATACAATTTAATTAAAATGTAATTAAATTCAAACAAACCAAATCCAACTCGACCCCACTGTGTACATATGTACCTAATATATATATATATATATATATATATATATATATATATATATATATATAATATATGCCATTTAGTGGACTCTTTTATCTAAAGCGTCTTACAATGCCGTGAATGCATACATATTTAGCATGGGTGGTCTCAGTGGGAATCGAATCCAATAACCCTGGCAATGTTAATGCCATGCTCTACCAGTTGAGCCAGTCAGGAGGACCTCACACTCCACCTGCGCACCCTACCTGTTGTTGTCCACGTAGCGGATGAGCAGAGGGTAGAGGGCGTACAGGTCTCTGCAGAGCACGGCGAATTCGTCCCGGATGGTGCCGTCCTCCTCATCGCCCTCATCGGACTTGCCCTCCATGCGCAGGTGGTCCTCCTCCGCCACCACCTTGCCTGTGCGTTTCTTCAGCTTCTCCATGGTGGGGATGAAGTGGGACTTGAGCATCTCGGGCTTGGCCCTGCTCACAATGGGCTGGGAGAACACTGGGGAGGAGCACAGGGTTCAGCAGGGTGAGTCTGAAGTGTGTTTGTTGATTAGATAGTGAGTTGCTTTTATTCAAATCGACTTACGGTGAGTCCAATTCAATGCGATTCAATTCAAAGAACTTGATTTATCCATTAGGAACTTGGTTCACATGGTCCAAGTTACAATGCATTAGGACATGCGAGCAGTGTGAAGTGTCCAAGTCTGATCTAAAATGTGGTACGAGGTCCACTATGTGGTTAAAAACTGATGGCTACTCAGCTGTGACATGATCCAGCCACTTGATCCTTGCTCTGCCATTGGTTTGATTTAGGTTTGGGTCACTATATAAAAGCGCTTTGGGTTATTGAAAGGCGCTATATAAATCCAATGGATTATTATTATTATTATTATTATTATTATTATCAAGAGTCATCCATCCATACTACTTGTCCATTCAACTATGCACATTTTTGTGTATATACGTAAGTTTGTAAGTTTCTATATTTACACATTTTATTTTGCGTTTTATATTTATGCTTACTTCCTTTTTTCTAGTTGTACTATTATGTTTCTATCTCTGAACAGCTACACCTGTGGCAATAACAGTTTCCCTCAGGATCAATAAAGTACTCTGAATAAAGTACTGAATGTGAATCTCACCCGCCAGCCTCTTCATCCAGGAGGCCTCGTCGATGCCCAGGTTGTTGACCACGATCTTCATGATGCTGCCCAGCAGCTGGTTGAGGTGCTCCGAGGTGACCTCCGTGCAGAGCTGGTTGTCCAGCTCGGGGAAGTTCTCCAGCCCTCTCTCCCACCACCGGGGCAGGTAGTTGCACAGCATGGGCAGGGTGATCTCGATCACGTGTGGCATCTCTGTGTAGCGGGCCCCCGACTCTGCCAGGTCCCCAATGTCTTTGAGCAAGAAGTCCAGCTGGGGGATGTCTGGACAGAGCTCATGGACCTCACTGGGGAGACCCAGGACTTGGGGGAGGCAGAGGGAGGGAGCGGGGGAGAAATATATTTTACAGTTAGACAGAGATGGTCAGACAGAAACAAACAGACGGTGAGACAGAAACACAGACCAACAGAAAAATGGGTGGACTGATGGACAGAGGATCAGGCAGAGAGAGAAACAGATGGTGGTGTAGGCAGGCAGACATACTGGCCCTCTCCCTGGGTGTCTTGGTGGTGTAGACGGAGAAGGCATTGTACTCGTTGAGGTTGGGCTCCATGTAAGCTACTGGCATGGCAGCCGCCAGGTGGGCCAGACACTCCCCCAGAGCTGGCCTCTGCCTGTCAAATACAGACGCTTAGTTCCTCTGTTCTGATCTCACCTTTATCTAAATCTAAGTAACCTAAAATATGCTGAGTAACCTAACATGTTAAGTACTATTGCATGCTTAGTACCTTAACATGGTAAGTACCATAATTTGCTATGTAACCTGCTAATTTCCCAAACATCCAAAGTACCTAATATGACAAACACCCTAACCTGCTCAGCAACCATTATATGCCAAGTAACATGATAAGAATCCTCACCTCTCAACGTGTGGATTCTTGACGGTGCCCAGGGAGTAGATACTACACATGATGCGGTAGCAGGACATCTGCAGATCATCCACTGAATGGCGGGCAACAACCAGAAGAGGTTGATGATTAACATTTACAAAAAAAATCAATGACTGTGTTAGAGTATCGATTGTGTGTAGTTGTAGAGTTGACTCACAGATGACGTCATCTCCGAACTGGTGCTGAGCGATGTGGTCGAACAGCGAGGTCAGGACGGGGAGCAGGGCGATGGTGGTGTAGTTGATGTTCTGGGACACACCCTTCACTTGCTGCACAGGGGTAACCAGAGATCGTTTAGAACCAAGATGGCCGCTAGGGGAATAATGCTGGAAGGTGGAAAGTCTGAAGTGGGAAACGCATCATCTCCGACTTACATGCGCTCGAGCTAAGTCGGAAAAACATAGATTCACATTAAACTTACAAATAACAACATAACGTTTAATTGTATGGGTTTAACCAAATACTGTATTGGTATACTGATTGCTCTGAAAGCACACTAACTTGAAAATCAAAAATGTGTTTAAATTCATACAATCTTATAAAATGTATATATTTTATGGGTGGCCATGTTGAAATTATGTCAAATGACGTTGAGGCTGAACTGGGGGTTGAGAAATTGAACCCCATTTTTTCTCGTAGGAAGTCGGAATTTCCGACCTCCGAGTTAAAGTCGAACGCAGCGTGAGGTCCATTCACACACCGTTTAAAGCATTTCATAAGCATTTCGGACATGTGAGCTATTATGAAACATGAATAAGCCCCCACCTGGTTGCCTTTGGATACTTTTCCTAGTTTTAAGTTTTCCACCATTTTTTCAATATCATCCGCAGCACTCTCAAAGAAGGAACGCAACCCTGCTTTTACGATCTCAGGCCCCGACTTCATCACAGTCCTGATGATAGACAGAATATAGAGATAGATAGATAGGTAGATATAGTTCAGAGAATCATGACATAACATAGCACAAAACGCCAAAAGAGACCCAAAACGCCAAAATGGAAACATTGACATTTGCTTTGACAAAGAAAATAATAATGGCTGTACCTTGCATCCAGCGAACGTGCCAGAATGTGGAGACAGTTTACAATGGCTGGCGCGTCGGTTCCTACAAAGACGGATTAAAATGGGTTTCATTATTTGGTGGGTATTGTTTCAGCAGGAGGATCGATAAGAATATAAGAACACAGAAAAGAATGGAGGAATTTGGAAAATGATGCAGACGCCTTACCAAAGAGAGACACTCTGTGTCTCACCAGAGCAGACATTTTACAGAATATACTGAAGAAGAAGAAGAAGAAGAAGAAGAAGAAGAAGAAGAAGAAGAAGAAGAAGAAGAAGAAGAAGAAGAAGAAGAAGAAGAAGGAAAGGAAAGTAAGGAAAAGTGAATGGATATAAGTGCAGAGGAAAGAAGAGATGGGGGGAAAAAAGAATTAGAGGACAATATGAATAAGAATTGAAAGAAAATGGAACGTTTGGAAAATAATCAACAGATTAAAAGATCAAAACTGGAAATCTTGAAAACATCTCATTAAAATATTGTGTGTAATGTTTTTATTTGTGTGTGATGTATTTATGTGTGCAAGACAGAGTCAGCGAAGCAGCTGCTGATGAGTGTATGGACATTATTCACCTAGCTGCCACGCATTCAGTTGCGCCACCCAGCTAGCGTTTTGAACCAAAATGGCAGCTAAATAAGGCCCATTACCTGGCTATCATCTCCTTCTCCTTATTGGAGGAGTGTCCACCGCTGCCCAGAACTTTGGCGGGTGTAGACAGGAAGTACAGACAGTGGTTTTTGAAGTATTGGTTAATCAGAGGCAACAAGATCTGAACGAGAAAGGTAGAGCGACACACAGTGAGAAACAGTCTGTCTTTGTTAACACAATCAACTGCTGCACTTGACTTCAGAAATAATCATCTGACCTTGGCAAAGAACTTGATTTCCTGTTCATGTGGGGACTTCTCCACTCGCCCACTGCTGACCACAGCCTCTGTAAACACACGTGGGAAGGAAATAGTAGAGCACTACAACAGGGCTGAAACCAACCTTTACATACTACCAACTACCTTACTTTAGATTATTGATTAATCATGTCATTAATAATGGCAAATGCCATTACAACACAAGTCAACCGAGCAGAGAAAAAGCAACCCCATATTTGCATTTCTGAAGCAATGAGCAGGAAATATTTGGTATTTAATTTTAAATAAATTAAAACCAAATAAATTATAATTTTCTGTTGATTGACCAAATTGATCAAATACATCTCTTACTCAGCTACATACAGTATATCTCTCTGTATTTATTAAACCCCTCGGCCCCTACAATACCCAGATGAGCGATGAACTCCTGGGCAATCTCCATCCACTTGAGCAGCTTCTGCAGGAAGCCATACGCAAACCTCTTCTCTATGGACGAGATGTCCGACTCCATGTCCTTCAGACCCCTGGAGGGATAAGAGTAACCGATCAGTTAGCCCTCCGGAGTTACGGTTACAATACAATGGAGTTGACAGACAATCTGTTACTTGTAAGAAAGAGATGAACACTAACGAAATGGTATAGAATATAATAAAAATGTAATCTATTTTGACCTGATGTCTTGGCTTTAACTTGGCTATCAGCTAGTTGCTATGGTGATATAGTACTCTAAACTGGACACAGATCCAGTGGCAGAGTATTTCTGTCTGTGGGACAGTCCATTGTATGAGGTAGTTATGTTTAGATTGTTTGTAACCTGGTGACAGCGTATCCGTTAATTTGAAGGAACTTGAGGAGTTCGTGGGCCTTCTCCCGGTCCCTGGCCTTCTCCTTGGCGGTCAGCGTGTCGTAGGGCACCAGAAGAGGATGACTGCCGCCTCCTATATACACAAGAAACACACAGATGTCTGTTAAGGTCTCCATTCGAGTAGGAATCACCATCTCATTCATTCATTTGATTCAAGTGTGCACCCTACAATGTATATTATTGTGTCGCATGTTAAACTAGACGGTGCGCTCTCTGATGAAAATATCTGTCGTGAATTTCGTCAGCAGTTCCCAATCAACACAAAACTTTGCACATTGTGTGTTGTTGCTAGGCGTGTTGCTATGCCGTTGCTGTGGTATTCTGCATGGTATTCTCAGGTGTTGCGAGGGTGTTCTAGGTGGTTGCTATGGCGTTGCTAG